AAAACTGTAAAGCTAAAGCCACAAAATTGTGAAAAACCTCATACCACCAGGTTAGTTGCTTGTACAGTTGGACTGGGCTCCCTGAAACTCCTATGACATAGGAGTCTTACCCGCTAATCTCAAATATACACATGCGAGCTGTAAGTGCGCTATGAAGAGGGAAATACATATACAGTGGTACCTCAGGTTACAGACGCTTCAGGTTATAGACTCCACTAACCCAGAAATAGTACCTCAGGTTAAGAACTTTGCTTCAGGATGAGAACAGAAATCGTGCTCCGGTGGCAGCGGAGGCCCCATTAGCTAAATTGGTGCTTCAGGTTAAGAACAGTTTCAGGCTAAGAAGGACCTCCCGGAACGAATTAAGTACTTAACCCGAGGTACCACTGTACTCAGAGCAAGGCCATAACATTGGAGTGCTGAAACAGAGAGCAATATCCTAACTCTGTTTACAGCAAGTCCTGGGACCTCAGGTGTCAGTCGAGTTGGCATGGAGAATTGAATGTTTACAGGTAACCAGGTGAGTTTGCTCCACCAGGGAGATGGTTGGCACATTTTGTGTGGAATTTGGTGATAGTAACAGATTGTCTTGTGTACTCTCACTTCTCCCCCAGGTAATAGTGAGCAAATCCAGAGGTGCAACATGCCCAGGTCGTGTATCCGCAGATTCTTTCCTTCGCGGAAATGTTTCACGTTTGACCGTCCAGCTACAAGAAAAAGTTGTCTCGGCTGGAAGAACTGGAAGAAGGTGATTTGGAGGAAGATTTCTTGGAGCCGGTGGGCCGTTTCTGCCAACACATCTGGGAGACATCGCGACCAAGACAGTCCCGGGAGGCCAAGTTGTGACAGGAATAAGTAGGGAACATTTTTAAAAGATTGTAGGCTTGGGTTGGTGGGTAGGGAACCATTCTGAGTAAAGTAATTAGTTTTAACCCAGTGCCGTTCTAATAATACTAATAACTGGTCTCAATCTGGGAACCCCATGGATGGGGGCTTTTTCCTCCAGAGCAGTTTGGGGTGTAGGAAGCTGTCAGCTTGAAGTGAATGGTGTACTCAGCTACCAGCCAAGAAGGGATCAGGTGACATCAGAAACCAATAGTGACCCACCTGACTGTAGAAATGCTTTAGTTTGTCCTTGCTCTGCAGTTTGATAATTTCTTTGTTCACGTCCAGGCTGAATTGCATGTAAGCTGCTCACTTGATTGGCTGCTGAACATCATTTAGCTAGAATTTATTTTGAAAACTATATACACAGAATAAAATACAGTAACGATTCTGTGATGAACCCAAATCTACTTTCAGAGAAATTTGTTGCGTCATTTGTGCAGAAAGCAACATTGTATGCATTGTTTTAAACTCTTACATCATTTATTATGCTTCTGCAGCAAGCAAGGACTTGAACCCATGACATTTGGCTACTAAAAAGCCTGTTCACCCCCTCCCCCTTTTATTTATTGAGAATTATTAGAACCCAAACACTTCCATGCCTATTTCTGCAGAGTTAATTCCCCATGGTGCCGCTAATATAGGGGCTTTGTTCTTTGTTTTGTTGATGTTTTATTTCTTGTATTCAATAAAATATTGGTTCTGAGCTGGGTTCTGAGCCCAGTTGTACTGTTTCGTACTTATCACAGTGTGGCCCCACGGCTGCAGGTACACACTGTGCTGACAATGAGTTATGGATTGGGCTGCTTCCAGTTTTGGCAAGAACCAGAAGTATGGAAGGCAATAATACATATGTAGCATAGAGGTAAAGGTAAAGGGACCCCTGACCATTAGGTCCAATCGTGACCGACTCTGGGGTTGCGGCACTCATCTCGCTTTAATGGCCAAGGGAGCTGGCGTACAGCTTCCGGGTCATGTGGCCAGCATGACTAAGCTGCTTCTGGCGAACCAGAGCAGCACACGGAAACACTGTTTACGTTCCCGCCGGAGCGGTACCTATTTATCTACTTGCACTTTGACGTGCTTTGGAACTGCTAGGTTGGCAGAAGCAGGGACTGAGCAATGGAGCTCACCCCATCGTGGGGATTCGAACCACCGACCTTCTGATCTGCAAGTTCTAGGATCTGTGGTTTAACCCACAGCGCCACCCGCGTCCTGTAGCATAGAGAGGTAATAATAATTAGGAATAAGATGTGGGTGCAGGGCAGAGAATAGTAATCTCTGCTTTTTAAGCATTCCCAAGTGCTTCCTTCATATTTCAGGCTATTTTCTACAGGCATGAGGGCTACAACATTACTTTTAAAAACGTCTTCTCTGCCTCTTGTTTTGTGCAGAATATCTATTTCTTTTCTTTTATGAGAACAGTGGATGATGTGTCCCAGTTACAGTACAAACGTTTGAAAGATGTTTGACTCGGGATACATTTCCTTGGCGTACAAAAGTTAAGTGGGATGGGCATCCCTGTTCTGCCATTTCTGATTTGGTGACTTTGCCCAATTCTTCCCTCTTCAGTGCTTCAGAACCTGGTGAAGACCTATGTCAATGCTATCAACAGTGGGGATTTGCCCTGCTTGGAGAATGCCGTGCTGGCCCTGGCAGAGATCGAGAACGCAGCAGCTGTGTGTGATGCCATTTCCTGTTATGAAGAGCGGATGGGGCAGCGGTTGAACCTGCCCACGGGCTCCGTCACATATTTGGTGTGGTTTGCATTTGACTAATAGCAATCA